AAACTGAGAAATAAAACTAATAGTACCTTGAAATGGAAAAGTTTAAAGTAACTTTGGTATAAATTGACTGCCACCTGCAGGCTTCCATCAAAACACATCTCCAGAATAAGATAAGAACAAGGGTTGGGTTTTAGTACCCCCTACTTCCTGTCATCTATATGGGAGGGCAGCTTTAATATTCCCATTTATTTCAACTGTTTCAGACTGAGTTTGCTTATAGGAATCAAGAGGTCCGCTAGTTTTCCCCTAGTCAAGGAAATAATGCAGCTAATTTTCATTTACAGAGGAAAAAAATCTTGCCTTTTTCCAGCTTGCTGCTGCTCACAGAAGCAGTGATGTCTGAAGATTTTCCTGTTGAACTGGCATGCTAAAGGAGGATTCAACTTCCACTCATGCTAGTCAGCTGTTAAATATGGGGTGCTTTCTGTATTTTTTTTTACTTAAATAAATTACTTCTTTCAAAAACATAGCCCAGACTTACAGTCTAGCAAGTCAGATTTCATAACGCAAGTAATGTCTGTAGTTTAAAAATCTGAAAGCACTGTTTTAGCAGAATTTGCACATTACTGTCTTACTAAACAGCCTGAGTCCATCACATTTATATTCTTTCATACATGCAAGCCATACTGAAAGAATAATGTTGACACTTCTAAAGCTTGGAAATTACCAGCACAGGTTGCCTAAAGTCTGCCTGCAAAGTCTTTTTAGAATCCATATGAAACAATCCTTAACTACAAAATCGGATAGTATTTTTAATCAGACAGTGCCCAAAGAAACCAGGCCAAGTTCCTTTTTTTTTTTTTCCCTCCAAACAAACAAACAAAAAAGGTGTTTGACACACAATTTATTCCCTTTACCCCGTCAATCTTTATCCTGAAGTTGGAATTTCTTCCTTTCAACATGTTCAACATGTCATTCAGCACCACAACACCTAACTTTGGGCCCTCTGTCAGCTAGTGAATCTCTCAGGCTTTAGTTTCACACCTCAAATTCTTCACATAATGTCTGGGAAAGTTAGATGTCTAAAAACAAGGTCTACCAGGAGCCAGTAGACTGAAACAGGAGTCAGCCCAGCACATCACTTTCTGGACTACCTTATCAGAAAGTCAAGCCCAGGAAGAATCTGAAAATGTCAAAAATCACCTCGGTTTCATCAGTACAGGATTTTCCATACAGAGAAATAAGAGTATATACAATGAAATGCAAGTATAGTTATGCTGCCATTTCCAGGAAATATCTGGCTTACTGAATGCATGCTGTGCTTTTGATTAAATCATAGGCAGCAAATCTCATGCTGATTTACTGCAGATGTATCACACAGTTGACCTGCAGATTTGCTGCAGAAACACTGAAATATTTCCAGAGTTGCTCTGCTAGGACTATCTGAAGGTACACATGCCCTTGAGCATCCCGACTGTACGGCCCTTGAGATACCTTAGGTATCCGAAGTAAAACATTGGCTACTTAGTCTTAATTCCAATGGTAACTGTGCCCCTAACCTAGAAGGGCCTTATAAAAAACTTCCTTAAGAACTAATCAAGTGCTTTTAAAAACAGAGCTTACTTGGCCAATGTGTGAAAGTGCGTTTGGATGCAGCTGTCATATGCATAGGCTGTGCAGAAAGTATGTTCCATCTAGTTAACGCTAGGAACAGTGAAAGGCTCAGGCAAACTTGATGAGGACGAAAACACTGATGAATTTAGTCTACTTAAATGCAAAGCCTATTGAACATGTGTCTTCTCCCCACCACTCTTCCCACAGCAATACTTGAAAATTTTCTCCAGGAGATTGGGAAAAGTATTAGTACATCTATCCCTTGTTTACCAAAACCAAAATCTATTTTTTCCTGCTCCTCATTCTAAAAAAGAAAAAATAGTAACACCCCCCCCACACAAACTGAACACAGATACAGAGCTGATGTGTTTGTTCTGACTTACATATTACGTCAACCCAAACCACATGACTGTCCTGACAACTCCTAGTCAAGTAACACTTCCCATAGTGAAGAACAACGAAAAAGGGAAATACAAGCTGTGTTATACTCAAAACATTAATGTATGTTTCTAGTATATGTCCTGTCACTTAATAAAACAGCCTAACATAGATTTAGGAAACTAGCAAGTACATTGCTAATCAAAATCAGACTCCATCAATAAATGAACAATGACATATAAACAGCAACAGGAGGTTCCATTGAATAAATTTCACAGGACAGCACTATCATCACCTGCTTCATCTCATCCTCTTTATACTGGGGTGATTGAAAATAGGATTAAAATTATTTTAAAAGTAGAAGACTTTATAGCAAGCAGTAACACTGTCAACAATGAAAATCAAAATAATAGCTTACCGACTACAGCCCTTTTGTTTCCTGAAGAAAACAAAATCCCTGACACACATTTCTGTTTACACCTGAACTTACCTCCATGCAGACCCATCTTCAGTTTGCTCTGACACCAGAGTCTGCATGAAAACTTCTTCTTAAATCCTGTCAAAACGTTCTTAAGTATTTTTACGAATAGCAATGAAATATTAAATGTGATGTAAAAAGTTTTAAACACTCTTTGTGCTAATACCATGAAAACTATAGTTATTTGAATCAGTGTCTTGGTATCTAATAATTTTCAAAGTGTACACTTCAATCATTTGATGGAAACATTTTATACACTTAGTTTTCCCCACAGCATAAAGATTTTCTCCTTTCTAAAATTATGTTACCTCAAATTGAATCAAGTAAAATCTGTTAAATATTGAAGTCTGATGAATAAACAGTCATAATAGAAAGATATGAAAAATTGATCAGACTACTTAAAAATACTTTCAGAGCACGTCTGTTCTGTGGCTAGCACTGAATTCTGCGCAAAGCTTCTACATTTCAACTGTTCTTCAAAGTACCTTTTCCATATAGAGAGGAGTTATGTAAATAGATAAAAACCTGTTGGCAAAAGACAGCATTGATTTTGACATTGAATGAAAATTTTAGCACTTAATCATCACTTGCCACTTGATGGGGGTGGTGAGCTAGTTATGCAGGCCTTGCTTTACAAATTTAAAACAAAATATTCCATGGACTATAAACAGGTTATTTTTATAGTTTTTTAAAACAAATCAGTGACACAAAGTGCCAACATCCAAACATTTTAGACGTTTAAGGGCTTGTTGTTACAAGATACATAAGCTAAATTTCACATTATACTTATTCATTAAGTGCTGTCAGGTTAAATCAATTGCATTTCAACTACAAATACTACATATTTCCATTATGGAAAAGATGGACAGACCAGCTTGCTCTGTGCTGCTGGTAAGAACAAACTACATTTCCTCTGGAACATAAACATACAAGCCTTTTCTATACTTGTATAGAAAGTTTTGTTTTGTTTTGTTTTTAAACTCAATGCCTCTTATTCTTTATTTCCTTTTTCATACACTGTATCTCAAGGTATAAACCATATGCCTGACATCTTTTTCCTTTCATTGCTTTATACATCTTAACACTATTTGTAAGTTAAAGCAACACTTCTGAGGCTTAAAAAGCATTACTGTAGCAGTGCAAAAGATAAAGCAGATGGATAACAGGCTAACATAATGTCTTTACTTCAGAGGACCAAACTCTACCCAAGACACCTCTGGAATTTTATGACAGAGGGAACAAGCCAATAAAGTGTTTAAGTATTATAAAGATATATATAGTATAAACTAAACATATGGTTTGCACATGAATACAGAATTAACCAATTATCATATAAGAAAATAACCTTTCATATCTTTCCAATCGCATATAAAGAAGTGATTATGTGTACATAATGAAAAGCCATAGCTCAGTTTATTTGAAATCTCGTTATGGGACAGGTAAATCCCAGCTGTCTGATCACTAACACATACTGCTGCGCTTGTTACTGGCCCTGCTAATAGGAATAACGTGTATTCAGAATAAAGACACCACACTCCAATCCTGTGTTCAATCAAATTGCACAGCTGCATAAAGCAGGAGTTCTGTGCTCAAAGAGATTATTCCTAAGGCTATTTCTAGTCTAATCAGCTGCAGCCAGTAGGGTACAGAATACAGGTGAGGAAACAGCTAAAAAACTGAACAGGTTAGCGTCCCCAGCATGCCCAAAATATAGGCAATGAAAATGCTGCAAGGAACATTATTCCTCTATTAAAAACTCAGCTATGCATGTAGGCAAGGCTTAACAGATAAGTTTTTTTTTATCCCTGAGCTGGGCAAAGCTAGCTTCTAAATTTAAAACACTAATAAGTACTTAAACCTTCTTCTTCTCTACCTACGTATCTAGCACTGCTGAACACTAAATCTCACCTATAATCACAGTGGCCATTCACCTATCATATTTTCACATGTTCTCCCCACTTACACAGCATGACCAACCCAAATCAACTGGTCTTGAATGCTACTGATTTAGATATAAGTCAAATAAATAAATAAATAAAAGCAGCATAGGCATTTTTTGTACTAGAAACAAGTTTGGAATTTGAGTCACTCATTTAAAATAAAGAAATAGGAAAATTAAAATTACTTTCAGCCAATACTTGAACTATTTCCTTAAAATTTTTGTCTAAGATCAGGTACTTAAGAAGTTGACTTAATTTCCACTGCAGATTTTTTCCCCTCCTGTCAGCAAATTCAATTCTATTCCAACAAAAACAACTACAGAAAAAAGTATTAGCTTCTGGGATAAAACAGGACTAGTTCTACCCTACAAAAATATGAAGCAGAATAATCAGCCTAGCTAAAACAAATGTAAGTAGTTAAGTTTTTCAGTATTTGGAGTTCACATTTGCCTATATTAACCCTTCAGCATCTTCAGAATTACCGCACCCTTACTATGCATTTACATGTTCGAAGCGATACGCTCTCATTATACCAATAGATGGGAGTACAAGGAGGAGAAAAGAAACAAACAGTGAGACCTTGAATACCAAGACTAATGAAGAGATTACACCTTATCTTGTTTAATATAAACTTTTTTGCACTCTCTCTTCTAGAGCACAGGCATTCTTGACAGCATTAAGCTTGCTTTATGAACATCAGTGCAGATTAGTGCTTCCATAAAGTTCCTGAAAGAAAAAAAAATTTGAAAAGCCAAAAAATACAATATACACACACACACAGACTCAAAATGTGAAAAATAAAAAAAAAAGTATAAGTCAAAAGTCATTTAAAAAGGTTTACGCTTTCTGAAAACTTAAATATTCTCCTCTTTAGGATAAGGTACAATAGCAACTCCAAGAAGACTAGCAAACCAAACAGCAAAGCAATAAACAAGATGTCCACTACAACATACCATTTATTTATATACTAAGTTAAAAAATACGAATATTTTATTACAAAAAGTTTATCAAACAACTGTATACATACAGTTAATACTGTTAAAAGCCAACATGTAAATTGATACTTTATGTACATTTGATTAATAATGTCATGTTGTAGAAAAGCATCACTCAGCAGAAACTGAAGTCTCATTTCTGACATTTGGCATTTGGAAAGTAGTTACCACCCTGCACTAGAAGAGACAAATAACATAGGAATAAAACATTTATACGTTACAATAAAAATACTTATTTGCTGTGATCATTTAAAGCAAATGGATGCTTTCTTTCTCCAAGAAGAGTCATCATAAGTGGAGATTAAAGTGCACATAACAGGTTAATAATTCTTCGGCAATCCCACCTATCATTCTAGATGCTCCAAGCACGTCACAGTAACATTAAGGATTTAGGACTTTTCTCCGTGGCTTAAACAGGAAGGAATTTCAACTTTTGAATGTTTATGAAATAATTATCATGTACAATAAGATGAAGTAAGTTACAGAAATCTGGAAAATAACGTTTGGTGAACAAGTCAGTGTAAATTTGCCCAGATACACAATTTCTGGGGAAATACTTTCCTTCTGAGAAGATTCATATTTTATAAAACTGTGGACGAAACCAGGAGAGCATGCAACAATATTTATTTACATAACCACCCCAGCAGTCATCCTTTGTGGGCCACATATAGTACAGGCTGGAGCTACACTGACTACTTTACGCATGAGATTTTGCTGGTAATCTACGAGGGGGTGGGGGAAGCGGGGGGAAGAAAAATCACCAATGGTTTATTTACTGTAGGCTAGGGTCCTGAACTACAAAAGTGCTCCTCAAAAACGTAGCTTAAAATATTGGCTTTGTCTCATTACAAGCAATATAGTAAACCTTACAAAATGTGACACAGTCAGTGCTAGCAGAACTGTCCAGGGCAACAATTTTAATAAATCTGTCCGCTTGGGATGAAAGAATCCTTATGCGTGTTACAACTCTTCTAAAGCAACAGCTGAACAGGCTAACTTTTCATCCACATGAGAAGCATGGCATGCTCACTGAACTGAAAACAAAACAAGCTGCTGGTAATTGTGGACATCGCTTTTATCACACAAACTCATCACCAATGATTAAAAAAAAAAATCTTTTTTTTTTCTCTTTCAGTTTACAAATACAACTTTTAATGAGAAGCTCCGAGCCATTATACTTGCAGAGCAGACTTCATATCTTAGGCACTGGACCCAGTTTAGAGGTAAAGTGTCTGTCAACATGATTTAACGTCCTCAGGTTTCTGAAGGCCATCCATATGAAGTTTACATACAGCACTACAAACACACATCAGATACTGCTGTAAATTTATGAGGAATAAAAAACACTATGAAATACAACTTTCACCCCATGGCACATCAAGCATGGCAATACCACTTGTTTCATATCTGGTTAGAAATGGTCAGTTGTGATTATGCTTTATTGAATATTTTCCTTTCTGTAGTTGAGAAATATATAGCTTGGACTTGCTTCCATCCGATCTTTTAAACCAAACTTCATCATGGTTAATTGTTGTTATTATGGCACTACAGGAAGTGAGGGAAGAAGGAGGAGAAAGTGGGGAAGGGAGAAAAAAAAAAGAAGAATTTAGAAACAAAATCATGGTCCTTATAAACTAAAATATAACCTCAAAACTGCAGCTGCACTTCTGAACAGTAACTGAAAACATGCATTAGCTGTAAATGCTAGGCTCAAGAGATACTGGCTCTGTTTTAAGGACAGTTTTAACAGAGTTCTTTAGTAACTGTGTATCTTCACTTATCTTCAGGGAAGGTAGTTAACAAATTTTCATCCAACCTTTTTCTCTCCTCCTACAAGGAGGCATCTACATTACAACCACCACAAATACTTTAACTGGTTAGAACATTCATCCTTCTTTTTTTAAAGGCTACCCATATTAAAAAGTAGACCTGCTCAAAAACATACCACAGGAAGTTACTTAAATTGGAAGTATCTGGAAAAGAGTTAAACAGATTGAAATCTAAGATTTATAGCAAAAACAAAGCCGTAAAATATACGTACTCAACTGTCAGCCACTATACTAAGATCAAGAAAACAAACACACACACAAAGGCAAAACTTGAATAACTGGACTAATCTGAATCATTCCTGCAAGGAACACTTCTTTGAGTAGAGTTTACAACGAAAAAGGCTCTAGGCACACCAATTTTCTTTGTGGACTCAGTTTTAAGGATCAAAACTGTAATTGAAAACTGAAAAACAAATTGAACTTGGATAGTGCTAATCATATAAACAAGGAAAAGCACTGTATTTTCAGTACAATTTACCCAGATTGAAAATAGCTACATTTCACAGAGTCATCTGGTATTTGCATACTCTGTTCATAACAGTTATCCAGTGCAGAGCTGCAAAGACAATGGATAATTTCACAGTACAAACTTGTTATTTACACAGCCTATATCATAAACACAACTGTAACTTCAGATTTTTTTAGGAGCTGTATGTTCAACATAACCATAGGCAAAAAAAAACCTGCTGATACTCCTGTGTGGAGAGTATTTTCTGATATTCACAAAAAGCATCAGGCCTTAGGAATGTTATAGTTACAACTAGTTATGAACCTGTAAAAAATTAAAATACATTTCCAAAAAAACTCAAAAACCAGTAAAACAAGGAAGAGAATGCTGCAAGTACTAGACGGATATTAGGTTTATCAAGAAGGTGGTAGATTTAAAAAAAGAGAGAGAGAGAAAGAAGGAAAGAAAAAAAAAGAAAGTGTTTTTCCACAAAAATGTGCCTATAACCGGTGAAGCTGAAGATGCTGGGGATGCTAAAAGCTTACATATTTTCAAGCAGAGATTAAAGCAATTAATGGAAAAAAGATCTATCACAAATCGACCGTGACAACACTGTGTCCAGGAAATCCCTGAACATCAAAAGCTGCTGAAATCCTGAAAGGCTGGGAAGCTCCACTATATGCTTACACTGCTAAGCATCAGCTTTTGGCCAATGTCAGACACAGGATATAAAAAAGGGGGGGGGGGGGGGAGGGGGGGGCTTGGGCACAGTACCACTGCTATGTTCTGCAAAACTACTTCAGATTTTTATTTTCAAAAATATATATGTATTATATATAGTTTACTAAAATGCCTTTCTGTTTCAGCCCTGAACAAACACTGAAGTTACTCAAACAGAATCTGATCCCCCATACCATACACAGGGAAGAAAAAAAAAAGTCACCTTTATAGTAAACTACTGCTAGATGAAGTTAATGCTCTCTAATTTACGTTAATTTTCATTAAGGAACAGCTCAGCCATACCTGGATAGCGGTTCATATTTACTCAACACTCTGCTCTTTGACTGATTTGCCCCATTCAACAGAAGACAATACATACATTTCCCTGATATACAAATACATTTACTTTAAACTACTGATTTAAATATAAAATTTGCCAAATTTAGAAGTTGGATAAGCAATACAATACAGAGAAAATACATTGAGATACCTTAAACATTCAATCAACTTTGCACCGTTATATTTATACCTCTCTTTACAAAGTTTCTCTCCAGGAAAGGTAAATGCTGTAAAAAAAGTTTCCAATTGCTTTATTTCTGAGTATCAATCAACTGAAAACAAAGTTTCTCTTTAACAGTAGAAAGTATTTTTCCACAATTAAATATTTTCAAGATGGTTAACAGCTCAAATTCTCAGGGCAACAAAATCCCAAAAAGCCAGAAAATTTAACCAAAGGCTATTCAGAAACTAGTAAGAGATTTAGAAACTTAGCAGCACCGTACAGAGATGTATGAACTGAATAATCTTTACCTTGTAGGACATTCATCTTTCTTATCAATGCATATCGTCTGTCCACGTCCATACCACTCTCCATCATAATAGAGTCTTCCTTCTTCAGACCTAGCACTGTGTAGATGCTTTTCTAATTTGACAGGTGCTAAAACAATCAATAAAAGTCACTTAACTTGGTGACTTGGTCAGTTAGGTTTATAAAAACACTTTCAGTTAGTTATTTACATACAGCATAAACAGCCTTTCATTGTCAAAAGTAGCCTTTAAAAATTAAATCAATACACCAGGAAATTAGAAGATACGTTCTTATTCCCCATCAGCTATATAAGTTATATATCCACTCTCAGAAATTATCTTCTCTCCAACCTTCTAAGATCTGTGATGCGAATTTTCACAAGCAGTGATATAGACAAGTCTTCAGATAGCAGAACCTGAAAACTTTTCATCCGTGCACTGAGCCATTTACCATAACACGCAAGTGGTAATATATGACTAAAAGAAATACACCATCTACTTCTCTCCCTTTTCCTTGTTACTCACTACCTCCAGGTAATTATTTTACCTGGCATTAAAGTGCTTCTTCCCTCTG